CATAGTCAAGTAACTTACCAATGTTTTCCAGGATGGTAATGGTTATATTAGTGCTGCAGAACTTCGTCATGTGATGACAAATCTTGGAGAAAAATTAACGGATGAAGAAGTTGATGAGATGATTAGAGAAGCAGATATTGATGGTGACGGTCAAGTAAACTATGAAGGTAAAAGTTTATGAACAGTTTTCTAATTGGATAAAATGTGTAACTGCCTGAGCCTCTCAGCTAGGATACACAAAATTGAGACTTCTGTGCTAGGGTATTCTAGCCTCATTCTGTTTCCTGCTGCTTCTGTATTCACAATAAGAATAACATCTAGTCCAATATATCCTGTCTATCACTATCCACAGATCCCAGTGGCCAGAATTCTATTTGTGTCCACACAAGTTTTGCATAACTTACTGTGGCAAATTAATGCGGTGCTGGAGTGCTTCTTGATCACATACCTTATAACACAACCAATTGTGCAGTCTGCCACAGCAAGTTACAGAAGCTTTACGCAGGCATCAGTACCATTGTAGCCTCATTACCACCGTTCCCCATAGAGCTCCAAAGAACCACTCATGAAGATTCAGTTTACCAGCCTGTCTGTTTTTTTTAAAAAAAAGCTGTACAGGGGTTTTTCTAAGAACGTGTCCTAGAAATTTATCTTGATTATTGAACTACATTAGAGAAATTAGAAATGGTCTTGCTACATTTTCGGCTGCTGCTTTAGATTGCTTTCAACTTTACTGTATAAGGTTATGATTGGTTTGGCTGATTTCAGTTAGCCTAATTCACAGAGGTAGTAGCATAGTGTGCACGACCATATAATTAATAGCTCTCGTTTTGTGTCTAGAACATTACATGAACCTATTTTATGTGTTTAGGACACTTACAAGGCTTACGAAATAGTACATTACAGTGCAAATTAAAAACAAAGCACAATTTTTAAAAAGCTTTAGTAATATAAGTTAGTTAGCTTGTGTCTGAAGGCTCTATGGGTTTGTCACTTGCTAATTGTAGCTTTTCAGTTAGGTGTAAGAACTATGGAAACACAACTGAGCATTATATATTGGTGTGTCTGAGACGCTGACCATATTTCAAATCATGAACAAGAGGTGATTATTGTAAGAATTCTTTCTCTAAATGTATTGGAAAGTGGGATCACTAATGATTAGTAGTGAAAAAAGGTTAGGAAAAAGTAAGTAGACAATATGAGAGCAGTCCTACTGAAATTTAATGCCTGGTATAAATAGAATCACTCACTACAGCAAGTTGTTTAATTTTTCATCTGATTGTGAACAGGAATACTTACAAACTTGACCGTGTCTTTTTTCCTCTACAGAGTTTGTACAAATGATGACAGCAAAGTGAAGACACTGTACAGAATGTGTTAAATTTCTTGTACAAATTGTTTATTTGCCTTTTTCTCTGTTTGTAACTTATCTGTAAAAGGTTTTCCCCAACTGTCAAGAGAATATGCATGTATAGTAACAAACTCATTCCTCCATGTTTTCCCCTTTTATCTGTCATCCTGATATTTTGGGAAAATGATCAAAGTAACAAATGTTTGCATGTGGCTTACTCTGGATATTTAAGCCCTTCTACACTTCTTAAACTAGATGGTGTTGGTCAAACGAGGGGACATCTAGGTTATGCCTGTTTAAATTAGTTATTTTAGGAAACTTAGCATGTTGTTGAAATGTAGTCTTAACTCTGTGTGGACTATGTACAGTCAACAATATGGAACTTAAAAAGTTTGCACTATTGCAAAACGGGTGTATTATCCAGGTACTCGTACACTATTTTTTGTACTCCTGGTCCTGTACCAGAAGACATTTTCTTCTATGGTTACTATGCTTTTAAAACCTTTTGTTCAGCCACTTATTTTCAAAAGAATCCGCTTATGGCACAACTTGCCTCAAATCCATTCCAAGTTGTATATTTGTTTTCCAATAAAAAATTACAATTAACTCATATTGTTTCTATGCCTTTTTAAATTACGGAGTATTTCTGCTTTTAATGTTTATTGTTACAGTGGTGCCTCACTAGACAGTGATTTCAGTGGAATGGATTGTCGTCTAGCGAGGCACCACTACTTTTGAGGGACTACAAACATAGGCTGTATTCAGATGTTATGATGATGCTCACTCTTCCTGTACATCACCTACAAGAAGGCAGCTGGATGTGTTTGTTTCCAATTTCAGTTAATGAGTTTACTATTCCTTTCCAAGTCCTGAACTGTCACTAATCTTAATTTAGGGCTGTTGAAACAAGCCAGCTTCATAGATTATTTGAAGCTGGCTTGTTTGAAATATATAGTAATTAAGATTGACCACAGGTTTCTAGGTTTTTGACCATAGTAACTATGTTTAACTGAAAAAACGAGTTGCAATTAACCTAAAATAAACATGGCTATATTGGGAGAAAAGCACATAGACGTGGGATCTTGACTCAATCCCATCAGAGTAGCCCAGGAGGGAATCCCCAGAGTAGTCTGGAGGTTCAAAAGAAAATATATGCTGTCTCTGGCCTTTGGAGGGCTGCTTCCATAACCCCACCCTCCCCAAGAACATTTTACTGAAAAACTCCTTTGTACTTTCTAGTGGTTGCTGAAATTATATATATTTCTGTTATATATATAAATTTTTATCTATCTGTCTATCTATCTATCTATCTCTCTATCTCTCTATATCTCTCTATCTCTATCTATCTATCTGTGGATCCTAAAAAGGATAGCGAAATCACTACTTTGGACTTAACTTGTTAATTTTTTCTTAAACAATGGATCTGATGCTACTGCAGGATTCCCAGGTCTTAGCTGTGCCTCAGAAAACCTTTTATTTAAAGCACATATGGGCAGTTGTTGACAATTTAGTAGCTGTACTTCCACATTTTCCATCCTCCCAGACCTGAGCAGGCTATAGCAGTCCGGCTTTGTTTCTTTTGAAAATCAGAAGTGACAAGATGATCATCTCTGGTTTTGAAGACTAGGTATCTGTGGCCTAAATCGGGCACAACTGATTTACCCCATTTTTACCCCATTTTCCTGCAGTTTGTGAGGAGTGCACATAGCCTGCTCAATTACACACTCCATGCTTTCAGATCTACTGTCTAAAGTTACAAGGACTGACACAGGAGGAAAACTGAAGCAAGATGCAATTTAATTTTTTTGCAGTTGGATGAAAATATACTTTTTCTAGAACTGGTGATACTCGGCTTTACCTTCTGTTGTCCTTTTGGGTTGGTATAATCTTTGAGAGCTTGTTCTTTTCCACTCTTTCTTCTATTAATGCATTTCAATTTTGCCTTCTGTTCTTGAGTTTTTCACTCACCCACCCCCCACCGGTAATTCAGTTATTCAGTAGCCCTTCCAGAGGCAGCTGAGGTAGAGAGGAGCTATTAACTTTGGATGATGTGCTAGTGTTACTACAAGACGAGCTATTAACTTTGGATGATGTGCTAGTGGTCTTTGTTACTACAAGACAGGCCTAGTCACTGTTATTTATGCCATCATGGGTGCTAGATTAATTTATTTTGAAATATCAACGTGGAGTTTTTGCTCAAAATGCTAATCCTTGCCTCAAAAACCCTAAATAAACTGAAACCTGATTTTTAAAAGTCTAATGTTTATTTCCAGAGATATATACATCACATCAGGATATTTCAACCCAATATACACAATTAAACCATGCAATGTAAAATATTTAAAGCCAATGAACATAAGGATGAAATGTATGTTCTTTGTGGTCTCTGTGGATACACACTAATGGGTTAATCTGCGCAGACTTTTGTGGCACCAGGAGAGCTCGAAATACCCCCTTCCCAAATCTCTAGGGGGAAGTGGTATTCTGGGTAACCAGGCCCCACGTTGAATGAACATAAGGATGAAATGTATGTTCTTCGTGGTCTCGGTGGATACATACTAATGGGTTAATCTGTGCAGACCTTTGTGGCACCAGGAGAGCTCAAAATACCTCCCTCCCAAATCTCCAGGGGGAAGTGGTATTCTGTGTATCCAGGCCCCACGTTAGTGAAGACTTTATATGCTAACAGTACCTTAAACATGGTCTGGTAACAAATAGGCAGCTAATGAAGCCTTCAACAGGATGTTATATGCTGCCCTTTCCATGTTTGATAATCATATCAAAGCATTTTGCATCAGCTGCAACTTTAGGGCAGCCTCCAAATACAGGTTATTAGAATAATCCAGCCTCAAAACGACCACAGTTTGACAAGCTATCAAGAAGGGGACCTGCAGCAACGAAGATGGATCCAGAAGTACTATATACAGAGATACTGTAGTGGTGTTGATATCCTGGATCTGGGAGCTGCTAACGTGAGGCTATATTTTGCTAGAATTTAACATCATTTTTAAGTTCTTTGCATCCAGGTAGTGATCCCAGCTCAGTACAGTTTCACCTGGGAAGTTTGAATCATGAGAATAGTCCTGAATTATCACAGGCCAAACAGGAATAACATGGCCACACTCAAGAAGACAATTCAGCATGGCAAACAAGGTATATCCAGTCTCCAAAACTCACACACCCGTTCAGAAGGAACTTTTCAAATATACTACTCCCCAGCTGTCTAGTTTGTAGTGGGGCTGTGGAACCTACAGATCTTTGCTTCAATGGCATGTTGCATGGATGACAATTTTATTCATGTATTTTATTCATTGATTTTTATACCATCTAGTGGTACACCAGTATTCTGGGTGGTTTACAGAAAATGCACAAAATACCCAAGCCCTCTCATCCTCAAATGTCCCGCCCCCTGAAAAAAAGAGCAAGAAAAAAACCCCAAATATAACAATGACATAAAACTATTATCAGTTGAGGAAATTCCACAAAAGGCTTCTCTGAAAAGCTCCCCTCCCCCAGCTTTTGAAATAATAGGAGGAGAATGTCCTGACCCACCACTCCTAGCAGAGTTCTACAAAGTGGTGGCCACTACCGAGGAGGCCTGATTCCTGGTCAGATTTCCAGGCCTCCCTAGGGTGGCCATCCACAGCAGGTGTTTATTTGGGCTTCAGGGTCAGGGGCTCTTCACTGAGGGGACATAAAGGGTCATTTCCAGACCCCAACAAGAAAATTAAATTCAGAATGCATTTTTCCCTTCTGAAATGTTATTGGGTAGAAGCAGATTTACTTACAGTCCCACCTCACGTAATTAGGTATTACTACATTAATATTAATATACATTAGGTGAGAATTATATTCTAAAAAACCTGTTTTTAATGTGTCTCCTTTGCCTCATTAAAATGCCTTTTTATGCAAATGTGGTGGGGTCACAGGTTAGTTGGCTATTTTAAAAGGAGGCCGCTACTCAAAAAACCCTGGGAAACACTGGTCCATACAGACAAATTATTCCTGAAATTAACTTGAGCGCCACTTTGGTGAGAAGGCAGTACGAAAAAACCCTGGGAAACACTGGTCCATACAAAGTATTCCTGAAATTAACTGAGCGCCACTTTGGTGAGAAGGCAGTACAGTTCTTCGCTATGGAATGAAAGCAAAGTCATTCAATGCTTATTTGATGAGGCATCGATTTGGTTGCACTCTAATTTTCAAAGAGGTACCTACTTATGTTAGTCATTTACTACATATATAAAAAATTTTTAAGATGACCAAAATGTTATGGTACATTTAAGAGTTTTCTTCCTGGATGAGCTCTAATGTACAGTATTTTACTCCAGGACAGCTGGTTGCACTGCAATAAAGGGGCTGCAACACTTTTGCTTTCTTTTTATTATATATACTTCTGATGGGTGTGGCAGATTTCTGAATGTTGTCCTACAGTTTGCTTGGAGTTGAGGTGACACCCAGATTTTTTGAGTTCTGAGAGCAGAATATTTGGGGGTCTTTTGCTTCAGCAGAAAAGAGCTCCCTTACAATCAAACATGAAAAGAGAGTGTTCGATCTCACTGACAACCTCCCCGCACACACTGTGGTACCAAGTTTGCCTTTAAAAAAAAAAGATTCAATCAATCAATCTTTATTTGCGGTCTCCGACCCATTAAAATACATACAGTACATATAATATTTAAAATAAGAGGAAGCAAATGATTTAAATTTTAGCATACACACGAGGTACATGCACACACAGTGTACTGTGTCAGGGGACCATGTTTCCCTCTCCCCTGCCAGAGATCTATTTTTTGGGGGGGGGAGTAGAATCGATTCATTGGAATCCATTTTGCATATGTGAATGCCCCATCCGCTTCTTTTACATTCCTGCTACCAGAGAGGAATATTAAAAAGAAAAAAAAATACCAGGCTTGCCAAGGAAGCCTGCACTTGCACAGTTGTCCCTTTGCCCAACCGGTTGCCCTCCCCTTACTCGCTGGTGCCTCCTGCCCAGTTGCCCCCTGGCTCATTTGCTGTCTTCCATCCCCTCTCTCACCCACCTGCCCACCCCTCATTCACCTGTCCCTGCATCCTCCCACCCTCGCCCCTTGCCCTTCCATCCTCCTCCCCCTTCCCTTTCCGACCCCCCATCCACCCCACCTGATAGGAGGCCGAGACAGCGCCAGTAGCAACACCCTCACACCACTGCTGCCGCCACCTCAGGCTCTCTGCTGCCACTGCTACTGGCGCTGCACACACACTGCCACCAAAAATTTGGATTGAGGTTAAAGTTCATCTGACTTAACTCTGATTGTTTTTATTTAAAGATCTCTCTATTTTGACAGTGGGAACAGGCCCAGAGTTCAACACTGTCTCACAGGGAATGGTCTACACCTCAGAGGCAGGTGCCTCTGCTTATTGCTGCCTTATCCAGAGCAGCCCCTCTGATTGGGAGTTAGGACACTATCTCATAATGTCAGCATTGACACTGAGCTTTGGCTATTTGTGGATGAAAGGAGGTCGCTTCTGCCCCCTGCCTCTTGAAGGCTGGCATTTACCTTCAAATGAGATGGATGTTCCAGGGACTGAGAAGCAAAGCATAGCTACTCCTTGCACCTCCTACTACAAGTCCTAAATCAGAACAAGCAATGACAAGCAGACCTCGAAGTTAAAATGATTGGAGGCCGCCTCTCTTCTAAGATTGGCCGCCATGATTCTGACATTTTTGCGGAACAGGTGTGTATGTGTATTCAATCTTTTCTTGCTCTGAGGACAATGCAAACATTCTATGGGAACTGGCATGCTATTCCCATATTATGTGGCTGGAATTTAAAAAAGGTAAATGCTATTTTAGGGTGTATTAACAAAGTATAGTCTCAAAATCCCATGAGCTACTAGTCCCTCTCTATTCAGCGCTGTTTAGGCTTCACCTAGACTACTGCGTTCCCTTCTGGACACCACACTTCAAGAAGGACACCAACAAACTGGAGCAAGTTCAGAGAGCAACAAGGATGGCTGGAAACCAAGCTCTCTGAGGAAAGGCTGAAGGAACTGTTTAGCACGTTTAGCCTTGAGAAAAGCAGACTGAGGGGAGATATGATAGGACATTTCAAATACCTGAAAAGTAGTCATACAGAGGAGGGGTAGGATCTGTTCTCAATCATGCCAGTGTGCAGGACACATAATAATAGGCTCAAGCTATAGGAAGCCAGATTTCAACTGAAAACCAGGAAAAAAGTCTTAACTGTTAGAGCAGTATGACAAAGGAACTACAGAGGCGCCTCGGTAGACAGTTACCCCGGATGACGGTTTTTTCGCTAGACATTGACTTTTTGCAATCACTATAGTGATTTGCAAAACAGTGGCTCCTATGGGGGAATTTCACTGGACAATGTTTGGTCCCTGTTTCGCAAATCGATCTTCGCTAGACAACGACGATTCTTCCCCATTGGAACACATTAAACAGGGTTCAATGCATTCCAATGGGGAAATGCTTTTCGCTAGGCAATGATTTCGCTAAACAGCGATTTCAGTGGAACGGATTATCGTCTAGCGAGACATCACTGTAATGACCTTGGGAGGTAGTGAGAGCTCCAATACTAGAGGCACTCAAGAGAAAATTTTGACAACTTATCCCATTTACTTTGATTTGGATTCCTATTTTGAGCAGGGGGTAGGACTCAATGGCCTTATAGTTGCCTGAGTGCTTCATGAAAAGTATAATCTTGCTACCCATTGGACTCTATGGAGGGAGCCTCATGGAAGTACATTTCCACAAAGCACTGAGATGACTCCCAGGCAGCAGTGGTGCTCCAGGGAGGATGGGGGCATTCCCTCCATCTTCGAAGCAGATACATGCAGAAAGAATCAGATGTGGAGGTAGGAGTACAGTATATCTGTTGTGCCCTCCCATTCTGAGAATTCCACCTGGGAGATTCTAGGTGAATTCAGGGGGCTGGCGTTCTAGAAACCTGAAAGTCTCATTCCAGCAGAATTCCTACATAGCACAGGCCTCTTCGACTAGAACTGAAAAGCAAATGCCAATCTTTTTTTTAAGACCGCCCTCCATATTTTGTGTTTTCCTATTCTTGCTTAAGCATCAGGAGCTGAGATTTGGAAGATCTTCATTTCTGCCTACCTTTTGTCCTGCTTTGCTAGACACCCCATGGCTACATACATACATACATACATACATACATACATACATACATACATACATACATACATACATACATACATACATACATACATACATACATACATCTCTCTTGGATGCTACCACTGCAACCCAGCCTTCTTGTTTATCCAGCTTGTTACAAGAACATTTTCCAGACGAAACGGTGTCTCAGCATGCTCCCTCCATCCCCTTTTGGACTGGAACAGAGGGCAAATTGGTGGAGTTACAGGACCAGCTCCGCTGAGACACCAACTCCCTCCAGCAATCCCTCTGTTGTCACCTAGCAGCAGCCATTCCGATTACTGGACTGTTTCCATCCCAGCAGATCCTAATAAGAACTGTTAAAAGCTGGTGCTCACTAGTCCCGAGTCTCCATCCCACTTTCTTTGTGTGACATTTCTCTGACATTGTCAGTCCGGGGGCAGGGTCTTTTTTGTACTCCGTATACAAGCTGCTCTGGAAGCCCTTTCAGCAAATGGATAGAGTAAAATATTTTGAGTACATAGGTTTCATTCTTTGCCCAGAGGTGCCCTGTGGGAAAGCGACTGAAAGCTTTTGAGGAAGGATTCTGTGCACTTTGTATGTGTTACAGTTCCCTCATCTCTGTTGCCTGCCATTTGGGGATGATTATTTGTTTTCCTTCCTTCCTTCCTTTATTCTTTGAAGAACCTGAGCAATACTGTATGCGTGTGTACCCATCTATGTTTCTCATTTAAGCAAGCAAGAACATTTTAAGGGAAAGGGGGAAAGGTTAAGACAAGCATTCACAAGATTAAGTGCCAAAGAGATAACAGCAAAGATTTGATTCCTTATGCCTCACTTGTTTTGGGGTAATCTTTGTGGGGAATAAATATGGGGGAGCACTTCAGAGTAGTTGGTTGTTTTGGGAGTGGGGGATATAGGAGAAGAGATTGGGAAGAGAGGAACAGAGAACAATGACAGCACAGCTTGGACCATTCTTTTTTAAAGAAAATTTTTACTTAATAGCTTGTTATTTCTTGCTTACTTTATTCTCTGTTGCTTAATGAGTGATGCATTAGTAATGTATTTTAAAAGACAGCATACCCAAAGTCCCTCCAAATCCTCTTCCCCAAGCACAGGTTTACAATCAACAAGTAAATGTTATTTACTGCCATAAAATACAGACATTACCTGTTGCCACCTTATTTTTTTCTTAATTATATGACCTTGCAGCCTCCTAACAAACATATTACTCACAGTTTATTTATGTTGTTACTTTTTACATATTACTCAAAAGCACATACATAAAGCTAGAGAAACAAAGACAAAGAACTAAAGATTAAGCAATCAACAAGTAAATGTTATTTACTGCCATAAAATACAGACATTACCTGTTGCCACCTTATTTTTTTCTTAATTATATGACCTTGCAGCCTCCTAACAAACATATTACTCACAGTTTATTTATGTTGTTACTTTTTACATATTACTCAAAAGCACATACATAAAGCTAGAGAAACAAAGACAAAGAACTAAAGATTAAGTATATGTTGACATAAAGCTAGAGAAACAAAGACAAAGAAGTGAAGATTAAGTATATGTTGCAGTTTACAAAAAAAAAAAAAACCACATCGGGAGAAATATTGTTAGTTGCATTGGGGGTAGCAGAAAGAAAAGGAAGTGAATCAGGAACAGGAAAGGGGAAAATGCCAGAGACAATGAATAGTAACCAAAGAAGCCATGTTGGCACCAAACAATACCTTTTCAGTGCTTCCTTCTCTTTACTCAGTTCCTTCTCTGAAGCAGATGAACCTGTCAGTCACTCAACCAGAGTCCCTCCCCTCCACCACGGGGACTTAAAGTACTTAAGTACTTTTCGTACAAATAAAATTAATAGAATCACAGAATAAGGGAGTTAGAAGGGGCCTATTAAGGCCACTGCATCCAACTCCCTGCTCAAAGCAGGAATCTATTCTAAGTTATCTCTGACAGGTGGCTGTTCATCTTCCTCTTGAATGCCTCTAAGTCAGGGGTGGGCAATTAATTTCTATAGGGGGGCCATATGAAAAATCTGTGTTCGGGAGGCCGAACCAACTTTACTTAAAAATAAAATGAAACACTGATGTTATGATTGTTTTTATTTTAAACTTGTTAATCTTTACAACAAATACTACTTTTAAACTTGTTAATCTTTACAAATACTACAGAGGTTTTTTACGATATGTTAAAGGTAAGCAACTGATCAACTTTAGACAAAAAGCTATAAATGGTTTTGATGTTCAAAACTGTCCACGGGCCGGACAGGAGTGGCTCGCGGGCTGTATGTGGCCCTCAGGCAGCACTTTGCCCAGGTCTGCTCGCTTTACTTAAAAATAAAATGAAACAGTGATGTTATGATTGTTTTTATTTTAAACTTGTTAATCTTTACAAATACTACAGAGGTTTTTTACGATATGTTAAAGGTAAGCAACTGATCAACTTTAGACAAAAAGCTATAAATGGTTTTGATGTTCAAAACTGTCCACGGGCCGGACAGGAGTGGCTCGCAGGCTGTGTGTGGCCCTCGGGCCACACTTTGCCCAGGTCTGCTCTAAGTGTTGGAGAGCTTACTTTATTCTCTTCTAATTCTTCATTCTCTTTGTACCTTCTAAGCTATTTGCCACATTGATCTAATAGTTAAGTTTTTGTTGATATTCAACCAATATCCTGTAACATGAGCCCATTATAATCTGTCCTGAAATCTAGAATGATCCTGCACCTTTTCTGTATGACAACCTTTCAAGCATTGAAAAGTGTGAACATATGTCCCCTCAGTCTTCTTTTCTCACAGTTAAACATGCCCAGTTCTTTCAGTCTTTCCTCACAGGGCTTTGTTTAAAAAACATGCACAAAAAGTGTTCAAACAATGTTGCTTCGAGGAATGGGATTTTCAGGCTTCTAGGACTGTCCTTCCCAGAATTCATCTTGAATATTGCAAGCAGAATTCTGAGAGTAGGAGAGCAAAAGAGATGTAGTCTTGCTATCTACAGAGGTACCTTCTCGCAGAATTAAATTTCCCATGAAGCACTGGGCCAACTCCTATGGCACCACTGAGTCTCGAGGCAGCATGGGAACATTCCTTTCTTCTTCAAAGCAAGCACACATGGAGTAAATTGGACAATGGGTAGGGATGTAATCTCTTGTGCCTTCCAGATTTTGCTCTTCCATTCCCAGAATTCTGCCTGAAGAGACTCCAGACAAATCCTGGGAGTGCAAATTCTAGAAAATCACATCCCTTGGAGACAGAATATTGCCAAGTTACAGAGCTCTAACAAGACTCTTACCCATCCTCGGTTCTGGTTGCTTTTCAGAGGAAAGGGCTTAGTTTGGTAGAAGGCATTGGGCTCCATTCAAATCCATTGTCCATGGGCATGTAGAATCCTTAAAATCCTCTAAAAATGGAGGTCCCCTGATTTTCTTGAAATACACTTTATTTTGCTTATGATTGGGTGCTATCCCTGACCCTCCCCCCTTGCCAACAATCCATTACATTCAAATAGAAGATAAGATGTGGTAATTATAAAACTGACCAGTCCTCCAACGAGCCTAGTATACCATCATCTAGAAGGCTTGGGGGATCAATCTCATTATGTCCAGTCTCTGCAGCCATTGGGAAGGTTGTGATCTAATGCAGATTGACTCCTGTAATCAAGTAAAATAGGAGGGGGCAAGATTCAAAGCTAAGGGAGAACTGATCTTGTCAAGGGGGAACTCAATTTGCAGTGCTGCGTGAGATCTGAAAAGATAGATCAGGACATGAGGAACAATTTGAATTTCACATTTTAAAAAAAGAATTGCCTTTGAACAGTAAATTATTGTGAGATGTCACAAAATACATCTGATTATCCTCTTAAGTTTCAAAAGCACTTTGTCCTATTGTTTAGCTTTCTGTACATTGAGAACTGCAACTCTGTGAGTGCAGGGGTAGCAGTCTTCTTAGTACTTGGCCGGTGGCATTATTTCTTCCATTACATACTGTGCTGGTTTGTTTTAATAAAAACCTAGGCAGCATCTATGGCTGGAGTCAGACTCTAGTTTTGTTTTTAAAAAGATGAAAGTATTATTATTGCTTTCAAGCAGGCTTTTGCTACCAGTAATGGTATACACAGACATTTCTTTTGTCCCTTTCTTGCCTCTGGCCAAACACGTTTCGCAGGCTTTCTGAAGCAATGCAAAACCCACACAACCAGTTTACCAGTTTAGAAGCTGATCAGACTTTTCTTTCCAAGCCTTTAATTGATGATTCTGTCCAAGAAGCTTCTTGCTTTCTCGCTGTCATCCCTTGTCTCTGAAAGAACATTCAAATTTATAACTCATGGATTATGATGTCACAGATGCTATGATAGCTCTGATGCAACCTGACAGGAGCAGTCAGTTCCATAAAAATAATAAAATAAAACACAGACATGGCTGGTACTGGCAGCAGTGACGTTAGCAGAGCAAGCAGACAGTCTGGAGTAAGTGCAAAGGATCAGTCTTTCACTTGATCGGAGGTGTCTAGACATGGTCTTGTAAGAGTCCTGCGTTCCAAGTGAAAAACCACCATAAAAGTCTGTCTCTGGATGGGTTGATTTCTCAAAACCTGTTATTTGCAAGGTTATTAGCACAGCTGACAAACAATGAAATCCAGGCAATAGTTATGTTAGTCAATAGTCTGCTGTAGCAAAATAAAACTAAGAAAATGTATTCTGGCACCTTTTTGAAAATCTTTAAACACTGCGTATTTATTTTCAATTAAGTCACTTGATTACAAAAATGTCATTAGGAATGCCGGATTCCAAAATGGTTCAACAAATGGTTCAACAAAGGTGAGCAGTCTCTGCTCACATAAATAACCGGAGTGATTCAAGAATAACCAAAAATTCAAGACTTGACATTCTCAATATACAATACAAAGAGAAATAGCTGCATTTATATGCTATTTTAAAAATACCATTTGGATTGAGAATGGAAAATTATATGTTTTGATCCAGCTGGAAAAACAGAAGGGAAAATAATTTTTGCTTCTTTTGTCATTCCAAAAATTGATAAACAATGCCCATCTTTTAATAAATGGCACCTTAAATGCATATTTTTGTGGACTGTACGTGACTTCTTAAGAAGCTGGCTAGAGTCCATGAAAGTTTATCCAAATAAGATTCTAGTTTGTAAGAAACCACAAGACAGTTGTTTTTAGCTATTAGTGAAGGAGCTACCTGAAACAAGCCACTGTTTTCAACAAGAGTCACATTGAGTCACATTTTCAATAGAGTCACATTGAGAAAGTAATTTCACAAGTGGGAACAATAATGCTTTCTTTTGTTTCTCGGACCCTAGTCACGTTAATCTATGGCAGCAAAACCAACAAAGAGTTTTGTGTTATGTCAAGAACTAACCAATTACAGCATAAGCTTTTGTGGATTGCATCTAATGGAATGGCCGCAGTCCACAAAAGGTAAAGGTAAAGGTTCCCCTTGACAATTTTTGTCCAGTCGTGTTCGACTCTAGGGGGTGGTGCTCATCCCCGTTTCCAAGCCATAGAGCCAGCGTTTGTCCGAAGACAATCTTCCGTGGTCACATGGCCAGTGCGACTTAGACATGGAACGCTGTTACCTTCCCACCGAGGTGGTCCCTATTTATCTACTTGCATTTGCATGCTTTTGAACCGCTAGGTTGGCGGGAACTGGGACAAGCGACGAGCACTCACTCTGTCACATGGATTTGATCTTACAGCTGAAAATCTACAGACCTTACAGCGGTTTAACCCGCAGCGCCACCATGTCCCAACTGCAGTCCACAAAAGTGTATGCCAAATAAACCATGTTGATCTTTAAGACTTTAAGGGTGCCAAATCAAGAAGTATTGAGATATATGAATAAAGGCCAAGATATCATGCCACCCATAAAATGAAGAAAACTAGATTGCTTTGGTTAAGTAATCCGAAAGGAAAACAACAGATTGTTACAGCTGATCATTCAAGGTAAAATAAATAAGAAAAGAAGGGCAGGAAACAAAAGAACATAGTGGTGGTGGTTTGGATGTAATGCATCATCATCTGTTTAGGGTCACCGCATTCAAAGCCAGTCCAGTTATGTTTATTTGATGTCCAATCTCCTTACAGCTGATCATTCAAGGTCTTTATGAGAAACAACAAGAAATCTTTATGATGTCACAAGGAACCTGGCTATTCTCTAGTAATTTTTAAAGCTACTTTTAGAAATGTGTTGAGAGGAATTTTTTAAAGTCTTGTACCATTGTCTTTGCAATCGCCAGGGTTTCCTCCAAAGGTAGCAAAATGTAAGAAGCAACATAACGAGCAATCTAAAGAGTGACTACATTTTTAACATTAAGGGTAATAAATTACTTTGGATAAGGAATTACATAATGAATTGTGAAAGTAATTTCACAGTCTCTTATGAATAAGTGGTCAACACCCACAGAAAACCATGCTCTCTTGACCTTTGCTAAGCGTCTGGATTTCAAAAAATCAATCAAAACAAACAAACCAATTTAAGTATTCCACCCAGTCCAATTAACCCGAGGCATATTGGTCCAGATCAATTTTAAAAAACAGAATATTAAAGAAATATATCTTATTCAGTTAGATGACCCTTCTTTCTACTACTAACACTGGTACAAACTACAGTCTGAATTAAAAACTATTCTATAGTGTTTAAAGTTCTTAGTAGAATCAAGTGTAAACAATTAAAGAAACCAATGGTAAGAGACATCAGCAGAACAGAAATACCCTGAAAAGACTGACTGGAAAATCTGATATAATGGCCTTTTAATTAAAGCTTTATTTTACCAATGAGGAAATTGGTCAAACACTCCATAGAAAGAGCTGTAGAGTTTAGGTGCCACTACAGAAAAGGCCCCCCATTCTGTTTATTGAGCAGTTTAGCTGTAGTTGGTCCTCTTTTCCATATGTTTGTATGCAGGGTTTAAATTTTTCTAGGCAACATTATTTGGGTGGCCAAAAAGTGGAAGATATATGACCAAAAAGAGAAAGAGAGAAAGAAAGAGAGAGAGAGAGAGAGAGAGAGAGAGAGAGAGAAGGGGACATGAATTTGCACAAAACATTGCAATGCTCAATTTCATGTAGAGTTGCCTGTTTATCAATCGTTACTGTAATTTAGATAGAAATGCAGTATTTCTCAGAAGACGGACAAAGACTGTAAACAGGTGAGTTGCGTACCTGCTGCTCAGTCTGTTGTCCAGATTTATCTTTAAACCATATTGGGTCTTGTTGCTATACTGTATTATGTGCTGTCAAGTCACATTTGACTTGCAGTAGCCCTAAAAGGGTTTTCAAGGTAAATGAGATATTTAAGGAGTGGTTTTAACTTGTTCCACAACCCCAGTGAGCTTCCATGGCTAAGCAGAGATTTGAACCCAGGCCTGAGTTCTAGTCCACCGCCTTGGGTCCTTTTAAAGAGAAAGGCAAGTTTAGAATATTATAAATAAATATAAAACAGTACATATTGTGAGTATAACATCTGTGTTTCTTTGAAGGCAGGCGAAAGGGAAAAGGAAGAGCCTGAACTTAAAAGAGATGCATGGTGGAGGGAATCACTACGGGTATGTATAATGTAAATGCAATTAATTGCCGGCCTTTGATTTCCCAAGGCAGAGACATACCGTAAATCTTTTATGACACCATAGCCAGTCTGCGGAAGAGCTGCACAATGCTACAGTATCTGAAAACACTCAGCATTGATTTAGCAACTACGCAGGGACATATAGCCTTTGTTCCCCCTATTAAGTAATGTCCTTCCATGTGTACTCTGGCATTATCACATTCTCCCATTTACTGAGTCCTTGCTGATTTCATACTGATCAAACAGGAGTGTAGTGATAAATTTCAAAGAATATGGATACTGAAGGTCCCCATAGCTGTGCATCCAAAGAAAGTCCAAAAAATGACAAATCTTTTGTAAATCAAATGGCTCTTGATCAACTATTCATGCCCTAGGCAAAGTAATTTGCATTGCAACTTGCACTACAGTATAATAATTTGCATTATTACTGGGGATACCACACAGACTGTTGCTGATGTGAAAATAAGGGTTTGCAACCGTGTACAAAAATGCATTCCCATTTTCATCTGTGATGTGTTAGATGAGGATTTCCAACTGATGCAATACCGAAGAGTTAACTTCTTAAAAGAGGGGAAACCTTTGAGAGCCTTGGGACACTTTTATTTTTGTGGTGGGGGGGAGCCTATAATACCTGAAACTTGTTGCCTGTAGTCCAGCAGCAGTGATTTTTGGATATTAAAGGCTTTCTCTTGCATCCCAAGGCTACCAAGGTCAAAAAAGATCCCTAGGTAACTTTGGGAGCCCAGCATAAAATAAAATAAAATAAAATAATAATGTCTTATGGTTATTACATTATCAGCATTCATATCATAGAGCTGCACTAACTGGATTTCAGTTTCTCTCCCTCTCCCACTCTCTCTGTGTCTGTATATTCCTGTTCCTTCAGAGCATTGTGGGTCAAAGGAAAAAGACTTTACTGTGTATGCCTTCTAGCTCAGCTATCCTAAGTTTCTTAAATGGTGTTTTATTGGAAAGGGAGTGCTAAGAGCAAAAGCTATATCTGCAGACATGCATTGTAAAGCTGAGATAATATGTTTCTTCCACCAGCCAACACCCATACCAGGGACTTATCCTGTCCGAGATTTTATTGAAGATGCCCAGATGAATCCAGTGAAAGCAACATATAATTTTAAAGGTGAAGGCAGAAAGAGAGCATCTATCTACCAACAGCTTCCTGATCTAACTCTACCAGACACCTTCAAGTACATCCCTCCTTCTTTTGTAGAACTAGCCCAGAAAAAAATTGCAACGTATTCTTTTAAGAGTACTCCAAGGCAAAGTCCTGCATGTTTATCCTATAGAGACAAGGTAAACATAAACAAATGATAAGGTCCCATTTATCTCGATCACCTAAGTTTAAATGAGGGCTGGCCAACCTTAGGCCCTCCAGATGTTTCGGACTACAACTCCCAGGGGACCATTATCATTGGCTGGGGCTTCACATAGTTCATGTCCAAAACAGCAGGAGAATTAAAAGTTCTCCAGCACTACTTTATTCAATATGCCATGCTGGCAAAATGTGTTTTTGGAGCATGTCAGACTGCACTAGTCGTATTGCACCAAAGTTATCATATATGGTGATAGGAGCTTATATTCAGGTACTGATCCTAATTAAGCAAAAAAATAAAATCATCCCAGCTGAAGGTTCAAACAAGGTCAGAGGGACCCCAGGATTTACCAGAACAGACAACTAATGAGGGGTTAGTCTTCAGAACAGAGTTCAGAAAGGACCGAGGATTCTTTGTGTCTGGAGTTTCGGGGGGCACGATAGGGGGACACAACCTAGTGGAGACCAGTCTTGGATTAAATCATAGCTGGCTAGCTGAAACATGGAATAGAAACATACCATCTCTCATCCTGTCATTGCAGGTCATGCTCATTAAGCCCTATTTCATAACCATGCACTGGTAAGAACAGAATCAGTGCAGTCTTGTTCTTATTGTCGTTATGTGCTGTCAAGTTCCCTCTGATTTATGGCAGCCCTGTGAATGAATGACCTCCAAAATGTTGTCTTATTAACAGCCCTGTTCAACTCTTGCAACCTCAAGCATGGTGCTTCCTTTATGGAGTCAATCCAGCTCATATTTGGTCTTCTGCTTTTTCTGCCTTCAACTTTTCCAAGCATTACTGCCTTTAGTTTAGTCAAATGACTGTTTATGGCCATGAAGGCCCCAGTAATTCAGAAGCAGACTACCTGGAAACGGACAGCTGCCTGTTTCTGCACGAACCTGCCCACTTGTTAAGCTCTTATTCGAATGCTTTGCATTGTCCAAGTGAGGTGGGTGGCAAGAGGAAATGGGGGTCTTTTCAGTCATGGCCCCTTACCTGTAGAATTCTCTGCCCTTTTGCATCTATTGGATCTTCTTGTTTCTTGTTTCAGAAATAATGTTAAAAGAATGCTCTTTTCCATTTTTGGATGCCATTTGATGCTGCTCTTACTTTGAAAACTGGATTGTGCATTGGTATTTTGTATTCTATATAGAAATGTTAATATGTTTAGATTTGTGAGTCATTTCTGAAATCATTAAACATGTATTTCAAATAATTAAAGCCAGGAAACTTGAGTTACCTACATTTGTCTCCTGTGCTTTGATTTCACGCAGACGATAGATACAGATCCTGGACAATATGATCTTTTCCCTCCTCCAGTCCCCACTTTTCCAACCAAGTAAGTAAAAAATCCCTTTTAACTCTTATTCTCCCCCTGAAACGTACTGGTAATTTTTGCCCGCTTAATTTTGAGGCCTTTGTTTTTCCCCATTTCAAATCCGCAGCAAATCCGAGATCAAACAACCTTTGGTACTGACAGCCACAATAGATTGTTGCTGAGTTTAGTAAAGCAGGCTTAAACTTTAAAAAAATTATTCCAGTTCAGGAAAATGCTTTGTTAATGGCTTGACCTCCATTTTCTCTGAGCACATATGACAAATGCTGGTCAGTTCTCTGCAAACTTGGCTCTCTAGGTTGCAATCCAGAGTGTAATTCCCTGTAAAAGGTCTTAAATTATGTCTTATGACTTATTATTACTGAAGTTTTCTATGGTACACAGTTATAGCAATTGATACCAAGTGCTGTCATGGTTCTTTTCTATGGAATTCAGGAATTTGTAGTTTAGTGAGGTACAGTAGTTTGATTTCTCTGTAATGTTGTCTCTGCAGTTTGCTAGTATAGAGTACTCGCTGCCAGACAGCAAGAAGTACTGTAATCCAAAAGCAAAGCGAAACGTGTGCTGCTCATATACTGCCCTATAGCTCTGAAAGCCCTCTCTGGACTGCTTACATTTTAATTATGCAGGCTACACGTCTCTCAGTAGGATGAAAGACTGAGTCAGCTTCACGCTGACTACCTGAGTCTGCAGGGACTGAACACAGCTTGTGAGCAGAGTCTCGACTGCAGTACTTTAGTTTAACCACTGTGCCATGAGGTTCCTTTTCAAGACCTCTGACTCGTCCTTACCTCAAATGTACATGTAGAAAGCATTTTCTTCCAGGATATACAGCAGGGGTGAGCAAGTAATTTCTATAGGGAGCCACATGAAATATCTGAACTGTGTTTGGGGGCCGAACCAACTTTACTTAAAAATAAAATGAAACAGTGATGTAATGATTGTTTTCATTTTAAACTTGTTAATCTTCACAAATACTAAAGAGGTTTTTTGCGCTGTGTTAAAGATAAGCAACTGATCAACTTTAGACAAAATGCTATAAATGGTTTTGATGTTCAACTTGTTCAGAGAGAGGAATCCAGTCTGTTCTGGGCTTGAACAAGTGCTTGAACACCGGACGGGAGCGACCACTGGTGGGCTGACAGGAGCGGCTCGCGGGCCTTATGTGACCCTCAGGCCGCACTTTGCCCAGGTCTGATATACAGGATAGGTGGCCAGTGGTTCTTATGGATCTTATTTATTTATTTATATTAAAAGATGCTCAAAGCAGCAAATAGAAGAAGATTGGGAAAAAATATGGTAAACATAAAATGATGCAGAACACAGCAAGGCAAAGAAGCTAATTGGACATCACACAGCAGTAAGCAAATAATTCAAAACAACCAGTGAAATAGTTAGGATGAAGAACAGTGACAAGACTGTGAGCTTTACAGATGCATGAGAATCTTGATCTGGGTTTTTGTGCTAATTCAGAATTATAACCTGCACCCTATTAGTAGCCCTCAGGAGCAACTATACATTACAATAGTCCATGACTAGGAAAGAGTGGTTGCAAGAACAGATAGGCGGGATATAAATAAATAAATAAATAAATGAATGAATGAATGAATGAATGAATGAATGAATGAATGAATGAATGAATGAAATTCCTACAGTTCTGAAAAGATCTGATGGTCACAGCAGAAGTCTTTCACACCTATTGTTTGCAAATTATTGTATTTTGGTTGTTCTCGGTTTTTCAGGCTCTTTGGCCATGTTCTGAAGGTTGTTCTTCCCAATGTTTCTCCAGTCTCTGTGGCTGGCATCTTCAGAGGACAGCACAGGTTACTGTCCTTCTGACCACGTCCAAAGAGGCCGAAAAACCCAGAACAACCATTAGATCCCGGCCGTGAAAGCCTTCGCGAATATATTGTATTTTGTTTTGTGCTTTGTTGTTGGGTGGTAGGGAGAGTCTTTCAAGTGTGACTATGTACTTCTACAAAACTAATTTGCGTTTCTAATGGCATGTATAATATAGAGTTTAGCCTGCAGTTTGAGCAGTCTAGCTGAATGCGATTAATAAAAGGAAGAGCTTAAGAAGGAAACTTTCCCAAAGTATGAAGGGGGGGTAAGGTGAGCTTCACTTGGGTTGGGTGTGCGGGGTTGGTCCATATTGGGTTGTTGATGGCAGTCAGGTAGCTGTTTTACACATGGTGTGCTCTGCATTCTGTATACATCGGTAGGGTAGAAGTGAGTTGGCATTTGCCATCAAAGGAACTCACATTAAAGATATGACTCAGAGCTTTGCTGAAGCTCAAAAATACTTTCATTTTCTCTCCCCCTTATAAATGTAGGCATTACATGTTCCGATCAGGAGTTCAGAGGTTTCCCGCTTTCCCCCCGGTAAGTACCATCATCATAAATGATGCCGGTGTTCCAAGAAAAGAAAAAAGCAACCCAAGTTTCAGTGTTTCTTGTCTGGATAATTTTTACTAGAGTATTTAGACTTCCCAGTCCCCAAACCAGGACAAATTGTATCAAGATCTCTTAACGCTGGGAAGGGAGCTTAAGAAAAGTCTTAATGTGGAATGAATCCACTGGTAGTATCTTCCTTGGAGCAGAGTTCTGACCAGAATGCTCCTGCCGCAGAAGTGTCTGTGTGGGGATTGACACCAGTTTCACACACATATACACACACACACCAGCCAAGACCATCTCCCCACAGCTCAGGAGGGTCAACTGAGTCTTTTGAACATATCTCCAGCGGACATAGAGGCACGGAAGAGGGAAAGAGATGAAAATGGCTCCTTCCTCATTTCCCGGCAGCCGAAACGTTCCACCAGATCAAAAGACTTCTGCACATGAAAGAAGCCCTTCCAACCACGCAATGCAAATTATGGATCCAACTCTATTAGTACAAACTGATTAAGATTTGAAAGCGAATTGGCATTCATCTGTGTTTTCTTTTATCCTCATCTATTTCTTTTTATGAAGTGGCCTAGCTCATTAAATTCCATATGCCCAACTGCACAAAAAAAATTTCCTTACTTCTCAGCATTGCATCCTGCAGATTGTAGCTCAAAACTATCTGCTACTGTAAAACAGAGATTGAAAGGGGATAAAAATCAAGGAAAGTGTTCTAGAATGGGAAAGGCTATTCAAGCAGTGACACTGACCTTTTGCTTTGTCCTATAGCTTCCTAAAATGGCCGGTAATAGCTGCAAGAGTGCATGGCTGTCCTGAGCCCTCCCTCTTTGTACTCTGTGGCTAGAATATCCAGGGAACCTCTTAGGCTCCATTGGTGGGTTCAGCTTTCACTCACTTTTTCCCTTGGTGCCAACAGAATGTTTTCCCCTTTCCTTGGTTCAAATCATAGATGGATTTTTTTAAGCCTACAAATGCCAAATTGAAGAAGAGGGATTTTTTAAGAGTGTCGCTCTGATTCTGGGATGAATGGCAGCTCTTTGTTCTGCCCTATAGACACCCCCAAATCAAACAAATACTAATTACTTGCTCTGTTTTTGCACATTAATCCAAGTGAACATATCTAATGAATGGATTGACTGAATGACTGGATTTATATGCTGTCCCATTAGTGCAAGCACTACTAACTACACTAGGGAGTTTAATGAGGGTGAAAGAGAACAGTGCAAAAAATGGTCTGAAGCTCAACATCAAAAAAACTAAGATCATGGCCACTGGTCCCATCACCTCCTAGAAAATTGAAGGGGAAGATATGGAAGCAGTGACAGATTTTACTTTCTTGGGCTCCATGATCACTGCAGATGGTGACAGCAGCTACGAAATTAAAAGATACCTGCTTCTTGGGAGGAAAGTGATGACAAACCTAGACAGCATCTTAAAAAGCAGAGACATCACCTTGCCGACAAAGTCAAAGCTATGGTTTTTCCAGTACTGATGTATGGATGTGAGAGCTGGACCATAAAGAAGGCTGACCGCCAAAGAATTGATGCTTTTGAATTGTGGTGCTGGAGGAGACTCTTGAGAATCCCCGGGACTGGAAGGGGAACAACCCTATCCATTTTGAAGGAAATCAACCCTGAGTGCTCACTGGAAGGGCAGATCCTGAAGCTGAGGCTCCAATACTTTGGCCATCTCATGAGAAGAGAAGACTCCTTGGAAAAGACCCTGATGTTAGGAAAGTGTGAAGGCAAGAGGAGAAGGGGGCGATAGAGGACAAGATGGTTGGACAGTGTTACCGAAGCTACCAACATGAATTTGACCCAACTCCAGGAGGCACTGGAAGACAGGAGGGCCTGGCATGCTCTGGTCCATGGGGTCACAAAAGAGTCAGACATAACTTAACGACCAACCAACAACAACAAAATTTACAATACCCCACAATAGCAACATTGCTCTCTTCCTTTTCCAGCAAATTGCTGGTATTTCACTCTGTAGGCGGAATGAGAGGCAGACCACTCAGAAACAAAAAGAAAGGGAAGGAAGGAAGGAAATAGACATGTGTGAAAGGAGAAGATTTAGAAGTTGTGAAAGAAAGAGAGAGAGAAAGAGATGGAAGGAGAAGAAATCAGAAAGAATTCCACCTTGACCATGTTTTATTTGTTTTAATTATTCCTATTTTTTGGTTTGAGAATTCTCATCTCTAGCATATGATCTAGACCCAAAAACTGTTTAGAAACATATTTATTTGTTTGCTTGTTTGTCCACGTTAAGAACCACTGGTCTAGACTCAAAAACTGTTTACAAACATATTTATTTGTTTGCTTGTTTGCATGCTTGCTTACTTACTGCCCCTTTAGTGCAATGCACCAATCTGGGCAGTTTACAACAATAAATGAAACACACACCAATAACCTACAAATAAACAATGACAAATTTCTTTTGGACTGTCCCTTCTATAGCAGCTCCTGAGCCAGATTTCTTGATCCATTACTCTATGACTCTCAAGATCTTTCTGATAATGCCAAGGTTTGCTTTTTAGTCCATGGGGAAAACAATTATGTCACTACTCATGTTGCTTGCTTTTTACAATCTGCGATTCAAATTAGAGAGACTATCTCCCAGGTATAGACCATGTTTGTATTAATCCCCCCTATTTTAATATGGTTTTAAAGGACTTATTATATCTTACAGTTTTATTTCTGGGCTAAAGTATACTGTACTTTTTTAATGCCAATAAAGGTCTGTATGTATGTAAATAAACAATACCAAATTTGACACGACAAAACAGGGGGCACCAAAGGCAAATGTTCTATATGATAGTAGGATAAGAGGCTTTTGGCCTGAAAAAGTTTCCTCATTCCCAATTTAGACCTTCAGCTCAACATCTGTCATTCAAAAGTAAAGAGAAATTTCATCTTCAAGTCTGATTGTTGAGGAACAGAACTTTGAAGGAATTGGCCTGGAGGGAAAACATCCTCCCAGCCTCTAATTGTGAAGCTAGTGCCTCATCCACTTTGATCCTCAGAATTGATGGGCCAGATGACGTGTGTACTTCTGAACACCAAATGCTTGGCATAACCCTACAGATCATACAAACTGGAAGACAGCTGAAGGAAAGAGAATCCATATTGGAAGTTCCTGCCCTCACAAGATCTTGAGCCTTCTCTGCAAGATACAGGAGGCCACACATTTCATACTTGATGGATGTGTTGATTGCCAACTATCCAGATTCAGAGATGAAGAATGAGTGTGCTGACATTATTGATGCAACTGGGCCTCCACTTAATAATGCCCAGAATTCAGGTGCAGAGGCCATGAGGAACCATTGAAAGCTTGTCATCAATATTAAGCAAGTGTATCAGCTGGAGAGCCTATGAGTCATCCCTACCATAATCTTGATAAATGGCTTGAGCCTGAAAGCACTGAAAAGAGCATATAGATGATATGAATCTCCCCAAAAGACAAATCACTCAACTCGCTGAAGCTGTCACTTTGACACAGCCAGAATTATCTGAAAGACCTTGAATACCACAGATGTTAGGGGTTATGAGAGCTTTGCATACCCCTCCTTCCTCTCTCTCTCTCTCTCTCTCTCAATCTCTCTCTCTCTGTGTTTGTTTGTGTGTAGACAACCAAAAATATTGCACAAAGGAGAAATACTAAGATCTGAGCAAAATGTATAGTCAAATATCTGTCTTTCTGTCAGATGGCAGCCAAGTTGCTTTGGAATAATTTAGAAAAGTGTTTTCCTTCGTTTTCTTGCCTGCCTATTTGAGGGCAAGGAGCTAATGGATGAGAAGAAGGAATTAGGAACGACTGGAGAAGGTTATATGGGGACCATATATGTAGAAAAAAGATAAGGAGCTAATGGATGAGAAGAAGGAATTACTGTAGGAATGACTGGAGAAGGTTATATGGGGACTATATATGTAGAAAAAAGACAAGGCCCCACAAATCGTATTTTAACATTTGCTTCTTGTTATTACTCTTCATGCCTCATCGTACAGCATAAAAGAGTGGGGAACAAATCTCTGCTTAAATAGCTTCTAATTTAATGTTTGACACAACAGGAAGGATAGTGGTGACTATAAAAGATAAGGCGGTAAAGACTATATAAAACCCCTGCAAGTTTTAGAGAACAAGATGAGAGCTTTTTTCCTCTTCATGAATTCTGCAATCTGTGTAAAATATGTTTGTGCAAAACTAGTCTCTTTCCCCTCTGCGTGTGTGTATGTGTTGGCACCTCCACAAAGAAAACAAGCTCTCTAGTTAAGACTGACAGAAAATGTCTTGCTGTCTTGCAGGTGAGGAGAAATATTGTGTGTTTTCTCATTTTTACACATGCATGTATGATTTACCTCCCTTGTGACAAAGGATGGATGTGTTTACATGCAGGTATACTGAGACCCAGACTGGATATTATTAGAACTGCCTGAAGTGACAAAAGACATCAGATTGTCCTAGCAAGAGTTTGGCTGGCTTTACATTTTGTAGATTAGTTTGCTTCTGTTTTATGTTTGGTCTTTGGAAGGTAAATATGGGTTTCAGTCGCAAATCAGATTGCATTTTGAAGGAACTACAGTACATGCTTGGAGGGGAAACACTGTAATACTGGAAATACACATATCTTTTAATATGTGATTTTAACCTGATACTACTCTTAGCTAAGTAAACAGTGCACATATTTTTATTTTTGGTATCTTTTTCTCTTTCTTCCTCCTTTTTTTAAAAGGACAAAGTAGCAGCATTTAGAACAATCTCCTCTTTTCAGGTGCGAAGGACCCACTTACCTTGTGGTGTGACACAATACAAAGCAACTCCCTATATTCTAGATAAAGAGTCCAATAAAATTACTTTGGGGGAAGCTACAGTTCCCCAAATCTCTTGTCCAGTATGGTCATTGACCATGCTAGATGGGACATTAACTTAACATTTCCAAGCTCTACTTCTTCCTAAATCAAGAAATGTGTTGCCAGATT